AGCATTCTTTTGGTTTCACTAGACCCATCATCTCTTCTCACCATCACTCCCCTCTTCCATTCTGTCTTCGTATCAACGTCATGAAGTTTCTGTTCTGAATATCTTTATGGGGCTATCTATTTATTGCTGATGGGTACTTTATTGATGACGAACTGGATTCGATGGCGTACTGGATTCGATGAAGTACTGGATTCGATGACGTACTGAATTCGATGGCGTACTGGATTCGATGAAGTACTGGATAAGATAAAGTACTGGATTCGATGACGTACTGGATTCGATGACGTACTAGATTCGATGAAGTACTGGATCCGATGACGTACTGGATGACGTACTGGTTAAGATGACTTACTGGATTTGAGGACAAACTGGTTTTGAGAATAATTTTTTTTGTTTTGTTTTTTGTTATTTTTGTTTTTTTGTTGTTGCTGGGATTGAAAACTCAAATCACACAAAGGTCCCCCGTGGGGTCATGTCATGGCCCAAAGCTGTGCTGCCCCACATCCTTCTTGATGTGTGTTTTGATGTTTGTTTGAATATTTTGTAATTAATTTTTTTTTTAAACTTTGTTGCAAGTGGAAAGATAATCCCTTTATAGCTCCTTCTTTGATGAACCCTCTAGTACTGCATGATAACGTCCTTACTAGGATCCTTTAAACAAAACTGTTTTAATGTTTAAGAAAGACTTTGACTCAATGTTCAAAGGACGTTTTTAAAGATAAAGGCTAACAAATGTCACGTGACAATGTTTATTTTGGATTTTTGCCGTCAAAAAAAAACAAAAAAGCAAAAGATTTGACAGTTTGGTTTCTTATCTGTGCATTCATTCATATCGTTTCACCAGGATCGTGTTTCCAGCGACTCTGACGAGGTTTCACCCACGGCTGACCTCTCAAGGCCGCCGCCCGTGACCCCACCAGAGTTCAAGAGGTCCCAGCTGTTTAAATCGCCCAAGGAGTTTGAGAAGATAGACAATCACGTCTTTCAGGTAATCAGTCGATGCCCTCATGGGGTACCTGCACACAGCTGTAACTGTATCTAACACAATGTATGTGAGTCACCGACAAGGATGCCCTGGACTCTCGGCACGTTGTGCACCGAACACAACGGATCTCGGGCCATGGTTGGGAGCCACGTGATTTTTTTATTTAATAATTTGTTTTTGGTCGCCAAAAATTTATTATTTACGGGCCATCCATTAATTAGGTCAACAAAATAAGTGGGGGGGGGGGTTGGAAATGTTTGACAGTTGTTGAGGGTGGGGGTTTAGATTAAATGACGTCAAAAATCATGTTTTCTTATTAAATTAAAATTGACTGGCTATTACATTATTTTAAAAAAAAATAAATTACGGGCCATCCATTAATTAGGTCAACAAAAGAAGTGGGGGGGGGGTTGGAAATGTTTGACAGTTGTTGAGGGTGTGGGTTTAGATTAAATGACGTCAACAATCATGTTTTCTTATTAAATTAAAATTGACTGGCTATTACATTATTTTAAAAAAAAATAATGAGAGTAAGTAGTCATATAATTTGTAAGCAACCATAATAGCATCGCTGCTTGAACGGATTTGCAAAATCTGTAGCACCTTTTTTGCATCACAAGTCATGTTGAAATAGCAAGTTCAACAGAAACGACAATGCTCTCTTGAGCATAACAAATTAGCACCTTCTACTCCACCAAAAAAAAAAAGAGAATTTGACCAATGCGAGTAGCTGCAAGGAGATAGAGAGATCTTATGGCATTTATTGATTTATTGCACACACTGGCAATGCTTCTATTTTAAGGGCTGAATGGTTAGATGACGATGATGTTGACTTGTCTGGTATATCAGTTCAGCAAGATGAAAATGATAAATCAGCTACTACGGACTATTCCTATCAGGGGCGTCATTTCAGGGGGTTTTCAGGAGAGGGGAGGGGGGGCAAAATCTTGTTCGGCTTGTTAAGTTGTTTATTACTGGAGTTGCCACAGTAGATAGCAATTTAAATAATACCTGCAAATTCAAGGGAGGGGGCGCAAATGCCCCCCCTGCACTTTCCCAAATTATGTCACTGATGCCCATTGTTACGATAGAGCAACACCTGGCTACTCCATGGGAAGATGATAGCAGCTAGAAACTATACTGTAGTTGTTAGCTTTACTGAAAATAATCATATTTATACTTCCACAAACAATGATATTTAGTCTTAAACAACCTTTCAATTGATTCAGCTTTATAAAATTTAAGTGCATAAGACTTTTTAACTTTGTATATAAACAAGCCAAAAATGTATTGAAATGTTTTCCTTACAATAGTATGTGTCATTTAAATAGATCAGCACAAAGTAAAATGTATTAATAAATCTACTTATATTATAAATTATTCATTGGGGGGGTATAAAATGTTGACATAATTAAATAGTGGGGTCACTGAAAGCCTGTGGTCCATGGACCTCTTAGGGGTCCGTGTAAAGCTCCGTGAGTGCCATTTCCTTTGAGATATTTATTATATTAATTTACATACTTTATTGTGTATGAAGTGGTCAGTGGCCTGGACATGACAGGAAGAAGTTATACATGAATTTAAAATGTTGAGACGCCTGACTTTAAGCCCTTAAGCTTCATGGTATACTCGCTAAATACCCAGACTTGGAAAGACTGCAATGAGATTTTAACGGATACTTGTTATTGATCTTTGCAACAAAGGTTGTGCAGAAGGAGTATTCAACATTCACAGAGCTCGTCAAGGATTTAATTGTTGTGTGTGAAACAGACTTGGACAAAGCAAGGTACGGTATGACGTCGTCCCCCCACCCCCCTCCCCCAACCCTTTAAATCTACTACATAAATAAGGTATCTCCTCAAAAGGACACCATCGTAAAAATGTTTTCTTAACGCATCGCAAGCATGGAGTTATCTTTTTTAGTTAGCCCCCCCCCCCACATGGTTTTAAATTTGAGCCGCATTTTATGTGTATGATGATTGACGAAATTTCTGCTATTCCTATTAAGTTGAATTAATTTAATTAACGATAAAAACTTAAATACTATTAAAAAAAACGTAAAAAAAATATATAAAAAAAATAAACATTATTGGAACAGTTCATTCATTTATGCGGTTTAGGAGCATGTATTTCTTCAAAGCCACATGATCATCTCAGCTTAGCGCCAGCAGAGAGTTCCTACAGATCTAGATATGCTCCGGTTGCAGATAATAATAGTGCATTTTCCAGATTTGTTTTTTTTTTTTTTTGTTTGATTTTTTAAAATCTATGTTGCATTATACTTTTAAATAAATTATAGATTAAATTTAGCTCTACACGATACATTTCCTGTGTTTTGAAATACAGCTGGTAAAAAAAAAATGAAGTTCATAATTATGTTTTTAGGAAGTTTTTTATACAAATATGGTGTGTGAGACATTGGAATGTGAATGTGTACATCTTCTGAGCTTAATCAATTGGCCTAATGCTCGGAAGAACTGCTTGACTTAAGGGTAGCCTTGTCTGATCCCACTTACCTGGCCTAATCCTTGGAAGATCTTCTGGGGCTAAGGCAGCACTTTCTCTTGTTTCAGCCAGCCCTGCTGCTGTTAAATCATATTTCTATGACTTGCCGTGATGCGATGGCCACTCACCCTTTGTCTATGATTCAAACTTTGAACTGCAATACAATTTGCAGATGGTGAAATACCCTCCTGGATTCTTGAAGATTAAAAAAACATAAATAGACATAAACATGTCCACGTACTCATGTAGTATCATGAATTTCCGCACTGATGGATCAGTCTTCAACCTACGGAGGCTGCAAGCTAAAACCAAGGTAAAAGACAAAGCCATCAGCGGGCTTCTGTTTGTGGACGATTGTGCCCTCAATGCTGACTCTGAAACTGCCATGCAGTACAGCGTGGAAATCTTCTCTGAGAGCTGCAACAACTTTGGCCTTACAATGCACACAAAGAAGACTGAAGTGATGTATCAGACAGCTCCCAGTAGGCCATACACTGAGTCCAGCATCACCATCTGCGGACAGCGTCTAAACGCGGTGGATAAATTTACTTTCTTGGGCAGCACTCTCTCCAGAGCTGTCGTTGTGGATGACGAAATGAATGCCAGACTCGCAAAAGCTAGTGCAATGTTTGGCAGACTCCAAAGCACTGTATGGGAGAGGATAGATATAAGACGAGAAGCGAATATCAAGGTCTATGGCGCAGCAGTCCTCTCGACAATGCTATACGGATGTGAAACGTGGACAGTCTACCAGCGTCACGCCAAGAAACTTAAACCACTTTCACACAACCTGCCTCAGGAAACTACTCGGCATCAGGTGGCAAGACAAAGTGCCTGACACGGAGTTTCTCGCTAAAGCATCTTCATCACCTAGCATCTTCATCACCCTGATACAGTCTCAACTCCGCTGGGCGGGACACGTGGCCCGTATGGAAAGCAACCGGCTCCCTAGACAGCTATTCTTCGGTGAACTCATGATAGACAAGCGCTTTCAAAGAGATCAAAGAAAGCATTAGAAGGACTTACTGAAAGCGGCACTAAAGGCCTTCAGCATCAACCCCATTGAATGGTTTCAGACAGCCCAGGACAGAGCCAGGTGGAGATCAGATGTCAAGAAGGGGCTCAATCTCATTAAGCCAGCAGGGGGGCCAGATCTGTGACACGCAGGCTAGACCGAAAAAGAAACATTATATCATCAACTACAGCAACTATCCCCTGCCCGCGGTGCCAGAGAGTATTCTGAGCACGGATCGGACTAGCAGGCCACCAACGAACTCACCTTAACCCCTACCTCCCTTCCCTTAACCGGATGATTAGATGGTCCTAATCGATCTTGACCGACGAACAACAACAAATACAAATTAGTTACCGGGTACGGAAGTTCAATCAGTTCACGTAACTTTGAATTTAAATTAAACGTGAAATTATAAACTCCCACCCCCCCCCCCTTTTTTTTTTTTGAAGCTTAAAAATTTTAAAGAGGAGAGAGAAAGAAATTAAATAACAGAAAATTGTATTTAATATTAGGGCCATCTTCCGATGGGTGACCTGGACTGACCTCAACGAGCTGGAAGTAGAGGAGACGGTTTGTCCCGATAGCCCGATGGGCCTGCTCAGGGGCATCAAGTACGGTACTGAGACATACCACGATCTGTGCCGGAGGTTGTGCAGGTAAGATATCAAGCTATATGGCACACAACCGAACAGTGTATGGGGCACTGTGTTATCAAACTGTTTCACTAATTAGATCATCAACGTGTATTGCTTTTATATGTATATATATATATATATAAACACAAACTCGTCTGCTTCTAGAAACAGCCGCCTGGGTTCAATAAGCGATGTTTTTTTTATGACATATTATATTTCAATTTTGTAAAGGTCCTCTAAACATGTAAACATATTCTCTGCATATGTAAACATATTCTCTGCATATGTAAACATATTCTCTGCATATGTAAACATATTCTGTGCATATGAAAAAAATTATTCTCTGCATATATATAAGTGTGGGAAAAGCTTTTCTATGAGAGAAAGACACATTGTCTTTTCATCAGGGACGTGCTGGCCCACGACGACGCAACGAGCATTCATTCGTCACGGCCCTTTTTCGGCAGTTATTACAATCTCCGGTGTGCGGGGGAGGGGGGGGGCTCCGGGCCTTTCTTACTACACCGTTCGTCACAGGTTTCCATGTGCCAGCACGTCCCGGCTTTTCACACCTATGTCAAGTGGATTTTATTTAATTTCCTCACGTAATGAACACAGAGGTAATGTAAATCTCAATAAACCTAACAGAGCAAAGACCAAGAGATCCATTTTTATTACATTTTTGTTTATAGAAACTAATGATAATATTTCAGTTATGCTGGTATTTACTGTGAGGTCATTGAGGGCTACTCAAAAGGCGCAGGCTACAAGCCAGGAATGAAGATGGAGAGCGACAGATTCAGGTAGGACTAATCAAATATCTGACCCAAAAGACTGTTCATATGATATTTTCGTTGATTATGATATTATTTTCCCCCGTCTGTGAGAAAACTGGAATATTTATACGAAAGTCAATATGGTTATTCCATTTTTTGTGGCTCTTGTCTAATCTATGTGTTTATAGTTGAACTATGTTTAGTTGAGCCAAGCACATGTAACCCAACTGTGTGCCAGTCATAATGCTATGTGCTTCTGAATTGTTGTTGTTTTTTTTTACTCCACGAGTCATAACCTACTGATCAAATAATTTTACCTTAACGTTTGAGACGTTAAAGGTATTTCATTAAATTTAGACCAGAAAGTTGTTTGTCCTTTATAATCGTGTAAAAAATCTTGAAGAAATTAAAACCTCAATATATTTACAGTGTACTTTTTAATGACATGTTCCAAAAGATAACATCAAGAATCAGTTTTGTTTTAAAAATGATTTTCAGGAATTCCTGGACCGCTGTGAGCATAGACGGCTCCTGGTGTTTCATCAACTGCAACTGGGGGGCACGCCACGTCAAAGGCGAAGGAAGAGGCGAGGTGGCTGGGACCAACAAGAAGAAACGGGAGGGCCTCCGGCTGGACAGCAACACTCAAACACACTACAACAACGTGGAGATACTGTACGAGCAGGAAGCCGGCGACGTTGTGGGGCGGGATGGGGAGAGAAGAGACAGCCTCGAGAATCGTGAAAGCAGTGGCGTGCCGCTTGTGGTAGGGGAAGGCGCCCCCGGCAGCGGCCCTGGTTCGGCCGGTGGAGCAGCCACCGCTGGGGGTGGATTGTGCAGTACTTTCGGCGGCGCGGGGAGCAGTGGTGGCAGTCATTACGGATATGGAAATCTCCAAACTGGTATTTTTTCCAGTGAGAAACGCCTCAAAAACGGAAGCACTGGATCGCACAGTGACCATTACGCGAGATCAAAACTCCAAGGCATATCCAACAACACCAGCAATGCTCAAAATCCAGGATACAACGGATACAGCAGTCCGTATGCTATTCCAAACGGCTATTCCTTAAACTCCACCTCGAACCCCTCAGACAACCAAACCCACGTTGTCAGAAAACTTTTACCCGACTTAGGCAGCAGCAACAAGGAGAACGGCCTGGACGATCCCAGCGTCGTGACGATCGACGGCTTCACGGGCAGGTCTCTCCTCGACGCCTTCTACAACAAAGACATCAAATCCAAGCTGACGGTGGCTCGCTTGTCCGACGGCGACACGGCCAGCTTCAGCAGCGGGTGCAGCAAGTCCAGCACCGAGAACATGTCCCCGTCCCAGTCTCCCTTCGCGTCCATCAGCTCGACGCCGCGGTCCGGGGGTGCGTTCAGCATGCATTCGGACTCGTCGTCCTCGTCCCAAAAAGACAGCGACAGGTATTCGCCGCCTCAGTCGCTCTTCCGAGCCTCGAGGCAGCAGAGCCAGGAAGGCAGCGGGATTCTGCCGAGGCCGTCTCCGCCTCAGTCCATGTTCCGGAACTCGTCGGGCTCGGATAACTCCGGGAACTCTGTCAGGTCGTCCCCGCCGCAGTCGCTTTTCCGGATGAACGCCCTTTCCTACAACACGCCATCTTGTAAGACGTCGCCGCCAAGCTCTCTGTTCAGGTTCACGACAACGTCCAACTCCACATCGGTGACCTTGGTGGGGATGGGCCAGGGACAGAATGGCGATTATTTAAAACACGGTGACAGGCTGTCCCCGCCCCAATCTGAATCAGAGCGGTAAGAAATCCATTTACAACTATCTTTTCTTCACACCTACCAGCATTCCATAATGGCTGACCACTTTAACATTTGCGAAATGACAATATGAAGATGAAATGAGGTTATTTAAATATAAAATGAATTAATTTACCACAAATCAAAGTAAATATTTGCCAAATCTTCTGAAAGAGTGTCAGTAACGGGATTTGGGATCCTACTCTATTTTTTTTTAAACAAAACACATTAAAAAAAAATTAACTATGACAATAATTTTGATTCTTTATTGAGAGGGCCAAATATCAAGTTAGGACAAGGATTATACGATGAGCATTTTTGTAAAAAATAAAAGGTAAATTTTACAACGCTATTTAACTAAACATATGTTGAAATCATTTCATATCATCTAATCAACATTTTAACTTATTTGTACGTACAGATGGCGCAACAGCGACAGTTCGGGGGGACGCTCAGAGCGCAGGGACTCCATCAGCACAGTTGGTGAAAGCCTCATTGGAGAGGACCCAGGCACCGACCTCTCCAAGCAGCCCCTGTACTATCAGTGCGACGAGTTCTACTTCATCACGGACCCAGAGGACCACATCTACCAACACTACCCCGATGACCCGGCCTGGCAGCTGCTGGAGGTTCCCATCACGATGTCCGAATTTCTAGACCTGCCCATTGTGAAATCCCCATTTTTCAACGCGGGTCTTAAATTTGCATCTCACTACGACTGCAAGCAGCACACTCAAAAGGGGGAGGTAACGCTGCAGCTAAAAATCCCCCGTCTTTTGAGTTTCGGATACACGCTGGTGCCCAGGGACAAACGAATGGTCAGTCAGAATTCTCTGGACGGACGAGTTCTGCTAAGGATAATCGGTCACAAGGCCATGTTCACGATAGCCCCGCCCAAACGCGGCCGGTACTACTTTACCATTTATGTCAAGGACGACAGCGGCTCTGACCTACTCCAGAGCGCGTGTGCCTTCTTGATCACGTGCCGGGAAGGAAGAGAGACCATCAAATCCCCTTACCCCAAAGTCGCGTTCTTCGGACCGACCCTGGCCATGGCCGGTTACGGCCTGCTCCCTCAAACGCACATCGACCCTCTGGTGTCGTACAACCACGACGATATCAATTTTCAGTTCGCGGCCAGCAGAACCGTCCGGCTGTCCTACTCTCTAACTTTCCATTGCCAGCGCGCGGACGCCATCGACGCAGACTTACAAAGGTACGCTTTCCTGCGACACCGAGACGACACGTCGATGGCGCTTCAAGTGCGCTGCCCTCACGTCGGCAAGTACGTCTTTTCGATATACGGTGCGAAATCCGCCAACCCGGAAGAACCGGACGGGCAGTACGAATGTCTGTTCCGGTACCTCATAGACTGCAAGCAGAGCGCCACCAACAAATCCCCCCTGCCCCGGGCGTGCCATCGGTGGTGCCACAGCCAGCTGTTGGAGCCCGTTCAGGGCGACCTGGCCACAAACACCCGAGTGACGTTTCGTGTGAGGGCGCCACTGGTGTGCGACATGGCTCTGTTAATGGGCGATGCCTGGTACCACTTCAGGAACCATCCTGACCATATATGGGAAGCGTGTTTGACGACAGGGGCATCGCCTTGCACGGCGAAGCTTTACGCGAGACTTAACAGGGAGACCGCAAGGTTTTCTCCTTTCTTAGAATTTCAGATTCTTGGAAAGAACTCCTAGAAGTGCTTAAGACTTAGGATGTAGTTTTAAAGATGTATAATTTGTATGTATACCTCAGGTTCACATTTAAAAAGGGGGAGCTTAGCTCTGCAATGAAGTGGAATACGTATTTTAAATATAATAATGTTAAGTTAGTATGATCATTGCATGTAGCATCATACAATGGATATTTAATAGATGATATTTAATAATATAAGTGTCCTCAAGACACCAAATAAGTTTCACTATTTTAATGTGAAATCATTTTTCATAACCGATTCCGGTTATCTATAAGCACCGATTCCTGGTCATACACTCTTTAGAACGCGCAAATAAATTAAGCAGTTTAAAACATTTCCAACATGTGCTCAGACATGGGAAGTGTTTGTTAAATTAATTACTTAGATCAAATTAAAGCTTTGATGCTAATAAGAAAAATGCAACTATGATGGATTGTTTGTAATGATTACATAATCCTTGACTGCGACAACAAAATTAAATTTTTATTCAAAGGACTATGGTAATGCTAAACTTTTATGTAAGCCTTGATATGGTAAGACAAATTATTTTAAAAATTGTATTCTACGGCATATTTAAAAACAAAAAACAGAAATGAAGTTATTAATCGAGGTGGGTAATTTTTAGAGTATTTAAAAAAATAGATCTATATAGATCATCATTTCATAATCAGTCAAATTAAATACCTTACGTAGTTAACATACGAAATCTTTTCTTTGTTACAAAACCATTTACTATTTGTATGATATTTGTACCATTTAAAATTAATGTACAATAATTCAACTGCAGGTTTGTCCCGCCCATTCACCTGTACACAATTTTTTTTCCCTAAAATATGTTTGTTTCTCAGCCCGCCCGCCCCCCTCCCCCGTTACTATTAAATGGATGTCAACAAATGGTGTTCTCTTAGCATTAAGCTTTCAGCAAATGACAGAACAAGTCAACGTCATGGTTCAATTGCTAAGTCGGTCACCGTCAAAACATTTCAAGGGCCAAATCTTCCCTCCAGTTTTGTAAACAAATGGCCCAATGTTCCCTCCAGTTTTGTAAACAAAGGGCCCAAATTTCCCTCCTGTTTATTAAACAAATGGCCCAATCTTCCCTCCAGTTTATTAAACAAATGGCCCAATCTCCCCTTCAGTTTAGTAAACAAATTGCCCAATCTCCCCTCCAGTTTAATAAACAAATGGCCCAATCTCCCCTTCAGTTTAGTAAACAAATGGCCAAATCTCCCCCTCAGTTTATTAAACAAATGGCCCAATCTCCCGTTCAGTTTATTAATATTAAACAAATGGCCCAATCTCCCCTCCAGTTTATTAAACAAATGGCCCAATCTTCCCTCCAGTTTAGTAAACAATGAAAATGTCTCAGATGACGTATTTTGTCACTGATAAGGTTGTGATTCTCTCAAATGTTTATAAAGCTAACTTATGATGTTCTTTGCTTCTACTGCCTGCAATTCTGTAACTTTTTAAAACGGTTAATTTGTGAATAATATGTTTTTTGTTTCAATCTGGAAACAATAGATGGGTGTGCACAATGGATGGGTGTAAATAATGGAGCAAGTTGTTACGCATGGATTAACAAGACTTACAAAATTACGCTTCATTCTTCTGTACTGGCCTAAGATTCCCTAAAAGTTTATCTATAAATGCCTTTTAATACCTGGCTAATAAGGTTTGATTACCGAGATTTGAAGAGAAGAAGAGTAGAAATTTTGAAATAAATTAAAGAAAGAAAAATATGTTTGTTTTTTTGTTTTTAAATGCTGCTAAATTTGCAGTTCAAATTTTACCTATAGGTTCAAAGCTAGCAACGAAAACTATCGAAAGTTTATTAGCTGTTCATTAACAAACACATAAGTTAGTTGTTGTTTGTTTGTTGTTTGGTTTTTTTTTTAAGTCGGGAAAAGATTGTTAAAAATTCGTCAAAGAGAATAAGAATTCTTTTTCGTGTCAAGTTATGTGTGGACTCAAACGAAACCGCGTTTTATCTTTGTTTCTTTCCTCCATTTCACCTCTCCTTAGGAACCCCATCTATTTTTCACCACACCTCAGCACCGCTTTATTTTTTTTTAAAAATGAATGATAAATATATTTGGTGTTGTTTAAACACTTTATATCGTGTACCTGTGAATGTTCAACACACTGTACATACGGAGGGCTCAGCTTAAGCCTATGCATAAACAGAGCAACTTGTACATAATGTGTGATGAAGCAATACAAGTGAAACTAAGTAGTTATAGTAATTAGGCAGCCGACTGTCACCGAATCCATCCAGATAGCTCTGTGCAGTCATCATTAATATCCAATGAAATAAATACCTTTGATTTGAGTTTAATATTTTTTTAAAGGACAACGATCAAGAATTATTACGTCTTGATTTAAAAGTGTGCAGTAAATATTTATTGAATATTGTTTCATTTAACTGATAATAATGTTCACATATTTACATATACTTTTTATAGCATACTTAAAATTAGTAATGATTATCCTTAATTGTTAAGACTCTCATGTATAGGTTAAAATTGTAAATTTATTTATCTAATCTAATTATTATTAGATGTTTTCATCCTACTTAAAAGGTATATTGGACATGTGTGCCCTGGAGCTATGCGTTGACTTGATATATTGGTACAACAGTAAATTAAATTTCCGCTTGGTCATTGTAAATGGGGAAAACATCTTTAAAGAAGTATCAAGCAGGGATAGTATTGCCATAGAAGCATACTCATAATAATTCGAATTTTACTACAGATCATAAAATAGAAATATATTCATAATAATTCGATAGAAATTTACCACAAATTCAGAAATAGAAATATACCCATAATAATTCGACAGAAACTTGCCACAAATCCTGCAATAGAATATACCCATAATCGTACCATAGAAATAATCATCTAATTTGTATCCTACCATTGAAAGTTGAATCTTGATTTATTAATGTTTTACATTTTACAAATGCCATTTGAGATAGTCTTACGGTACACTGTTCTTTCGTAAGCAAGAGAAATGTGCCTATAGCATCATTAATAGTTACGAAAGGTAAGACTTCTTATAGTCGTTTAAAATCTGAAATGAATATAATACATGCATAAATATTTCTAATAATACTTTTAAATTATTAAATTGATTTGATCGCACCTACTGAGACTGTACATTAAGAAATAGCGTCAGATCTAACGTTGAGCTAGCAACCAAAGCTCTTTGTGCCCTCACCAAAGCATCCCGCCCCCAAGCCCAAGTTTCGGGCTACTAAACGGCACGTTGGTGATCCCTCTTTGCCAGGAACCCCGGCCCCCATCCCACCCCCATAGAGCCCTGCTCCGGGGCTCAGCTCTTTGTTTGCTCTTCCTTTTTTTTCTCTTTTAAGCCATCTCCACGTAGGCTGAGGAAGAAGGTGCTTCCAATCTGGCTTAGGGAAAAAGGGGGGGGGGGGGGGGGGTTGTAATCTCCACCCACCCCCTGTGGTGGTCTTTTAAATTTCTCCAGGTAACACATTTGTATTAAAGAAGGAAAAGAAAAGAAAACAATTACTCAATATTTTCATTATATATCATATGGGGGGAAGGGGGATTGTTAGAAAAAAGATATATATATAATAATTGCTATGCATAGGTAGGGAGAGGAAAAATTAAGGAAAAATTATATCATAAAGGAACTCCAAACCTGTAGTAGGGAACGAAACTTGAGTTGACCACACGGCTGGCCACGCTAACAATTAAATAGCGAATTTTAATAACTGTATCGTAAATACACATTATAGACCGATAAATTTCATTTTTTTTTTTTAAATAAATAATCTCACGATTTGATGATTTGGTTTACTGACAATGGGAAGATATATTCGGCATTAGGAGAAACGTCAACAGGTGGTTATAAATATTCTTAAAATTGAAAAGTGAACAATGTTCTAACAATTTTGTAACTGTAAATGGTTGTAGTATAAATATTCATAGTGACCTCTCGAATTAAACGCCAACATGACCCCCACACACACACAGTTTACCAAGGTCTAGGAGGGGAAAAAAAAAGGGGGGGGGGGTGGCTTTCCACGCTCGGGGGTGGGTCGGATAGCATAGAGGACCTTGGCTACATCTGAAGATTTCTTTCCAGCCATACAAGTCTGAAATTTGTTTTCATTTTGGATACAACGCTCATCAAAGATTTCTATAGGTAATCAGGGGCTATAATCACTCTTTGGGGTAATGAGGAACGGTAACAATTTTGTAAAACAAAATAGATTTAGTAAGAAAAAATTTGTCGAAAAGAATAATATCCAAGTACATTCGAAGAAGTGGAGGGGAGGTAATGGTTGGAACATCTCTATCAGTTGTTCACATGCATAAAGACCATTTTCTAATTGTTCAGTTTGAAAATCTTATATATATATATATATATATATATATATATATATATACTGTCTCGTAGACACAGCTAGATGGGGAGAAGAGACAGGGACACACTGGGCCCCTTGCGGCCGGAGGGCGGTTGTGTTGGACGGGAACACGTCCCCGTGCTCGTAGTGCTCCCCCTGGAAGTCACACCCTTGTTCCGTGTATNTTTTTTTTTTTTTTTTTTACATTTGTAACGATGTCAATATCAGGTCATGTGTAGTTCACAGATCATTGTAAATTAATGTGCTGTCGCTAGTGTAATTTATTTATTTATTTATTTACTTCTCTCGCTTTCTCTGTGATTGAACAAAAATATGAACACAAATTTATAAAAATGCAATTTTGAAAGAAATAAATGTTGAAAAAATGAAAACAGAGACTATTATAGTGAATCGTTTGTAATCCATGGCTAAACAAAATAGTGGATAATATAAAAATGCAAAAGAACATTAAATTCAAGAAATTAGAATAGAAACTTTGAATGTAATATAATATATAGTAAACAATGTTGTCCCCTTATGTTACAATGACGTATAATGGAACAGTGTTAAATCATTAGCAAATAATTAAGCAGAGGATTTATATATTTTTTTGCATAAAATCTAATACTGCAAAAAATTAAAGTGAGAACAAATCTTTATGTTTAAAAGAAAAGAAATATTTTTTTTTGAACATTTTTATTTTTAACATTTAATAGAATAATAGTGTAACGGTATCATCAGAATATACTCCAGCGAATAAGACTAGGCTTGCAGGTAATAAAATATATCAATCCTAGTGATTTTTCATTAAATCAAAAGAATATAATAGCCTAAAAGTGCACAAAAGTGTCCCGAATTCTTAACTCTGTTACTAGTGTTACAGCTGATGATGAGAAGAGAAAAACACCAGAGCACAGTATAAGATAGTAATTAAATTCCCGGTGCATGAAGCTATGGCGTAAGCCTCGTAAACAAAATAACAGTAAATATATGTATCAGAGGCGTAGCGAGGGGGGGGGCAGAAGGGGGAAAGATGTCCCCGGGCGCCAGCTAGTTATGGGCGCCAAAATGTGCTTTGATATTATTTTATTGATGAAATTAATGAGTTTGAGAGTTGAAAAAAAAAAAAAAAAGAAAAAGGGGCACTTTAAAATGGATCTTGTCCCCGGTCACGAATCTTGTTCCCTGGCGCCAAACACCCTCGCTACGCCTCTGATATATATATATATATATATATATATATATATATATATATATATATATATATATATATATATCTCTCTT